TCAGCAGAGTCCGACCCACAGTCTGAGATTTGCTGCCCGCTGTCCTTTTCATCATCTTCCTCGGACTGATCCAGATCGCTGTCTGTTTCTATAACAGGAAGATCATCTGAAGACAGACAAACAGAAAGATTTGGCGCTTTTGAATGGTGCAAATAGCATCTTAAAATCTTTATCAGTAAACACGGACACCTATGGTGTTATCAAGGAACAAAGGTCTATTCAGTAAGTATGCTAGATAACTGAGAAAATTCGAGAAAACAACAGTGTTGTGTGCTACCAGCATTAAAAGATCATTTGGATTTAAATAAGCAAACAAGTATTTCATTAGGAAAATACATGCCTATGAACGCAATTAGCTATTTCAGTTTGTTCTTGCTTGGTGCAAAGAATATCTATTTTTCTTAAGCTAACTTTTTCATAATGTGTCCTGTGGCAGTGAGAACATGCCTCACATTTAGGCAAGTCAAATAATTGGTTTTCAAGACGAAAGCAAACATGACTGCCGAAACTACGATGACCAAGCTGAACTGTCCAACAGATCTTTTGATAATCTGGTTAAAGACAACAAAGGTCCACCATAGAAAGAAGAGCTACAAGTGTATTTTATGGGGATTTCATGTGACGGACCAACACGGAGTCAGAAATCATTTTAAAATTGAGGGTAGATAGTACAGTTATTTATTTTTTTACAAGTAAAAATGTTAAATGTGTGTTGTGTTGTGTAGTACGTGTGCATAGTTATCAATGTTAAGCCTTTTATATTTAGAGACTTTTTAGACAAAAAGCTGAAAGGCCAAAACTGGAATCGGCAGGTCAGTCATTTTAAGGATCGATGATCGGCCAAAAAACTGTAATCAGTGCAGCCCTAGGTTTTATACTGAGATTACACACAGGTGGAACTCCTGACAAACTTTTAGAGTCAATACTGTGATCTTGGGTTGCTTCAGTTTGCCAGGGCAAGATTAAAAAAAAAAAAGGCCAAAAAATAAGCAGTCCACTAATTTATTGCTGAATCAGCTTTTCTTTTTTTAATTGCTTTTAGCCTCCCCACCCCCCAGCCCCCAAGATGATAATTTCAAGATTCATTAGGCCCAACATATTAAAAGAATGGTTCAGCAAGCATTAGACATTCCTTTCACATATGGATTAGTTTAACCCATGATAATTAGTTTAACCCATGTAGTCTTCAGGAAACTACACAGGCTCCCAACATCGACGCTAAATTTTTTGAAAAAAATATTCCAACTGTTGAAACAATTAAGAAAAAGTGACACTTTATTTTGACAACGCAACCACATGGCATGTGGAAACTTTTTGTACGTCTAGTGAGTGCTTGATAAAGCAACACTAATTGCCAAGACTTCCTAAAAGGTTTGTTGCTCATTTTGCTTGAGAAATCAGGTGTTTCAAAAGGGGAGTATACATAGTATATACACAGTTGTACAGGAGAATATTTATTCCAACAGAGATTGCTTTATGGGCAAAAATTCACTCAGAGAGAGGACTGTAAAAACACATCTCACTTTCATGTCTCCCTTGTCTAAAACACGATAAAAACAAAAAAAGAAATCTGTATTTTAAAGATACTATGTTAAACACGTTTAAAATGCCTCAGCTCAATTGGTCTGGGCAGATATTATTCTTTACCTTTCTCATTAGTGAGCACGCTCAGAGCAGTGGTGTAAGACTGAATCAGAGCATTAGGTCTTCTTGGCATTGGAGGTCGCGGCCTCTGTTGCAAAGCAACTTTGGACATACGCTGCACCTGACTCTCATCATCAGACGGTTCAGTTTCACTGGAACTCCAGGCGATATCCACCGGGTCCTCATCATGGCTGGGAGCACTGCTCTGCACTGAGAAACCAAAAACATAAAGACGAAAATGATGTTAGGACTTAGAAAACTGTTTAACAAGCAGACGTGCAAAAAAAAAAAAATAAATAAAAATATAGCATCAAAGATGCTGCAAAAGAGCTGAAAAAACTATCTAAATCCATTCAAACTGACAGCAGTATAATAGTCCCAGGAGGGCTCCAATATTTACACTAAGAAAAAAAGCCAGAAAGGAATTTTCCAAAATGTACTGTATGTAGATAAGCCTTAAACAGTTGCGGAAAGAAATGCTGACTGGAAATAGTTAAAACAAAAACAAAAAAACAAAAAAACAAAAAAAAAAGTTGCAGGGAAAGAAGTTTCGCTTCGGGTGTTCTTTGTTGTGTCTGGCTTACTTAGCATTAAATTAGAGAGCCTCTGTCAGAAATCACACTGTAAAATACAGAAATTAAACAAAAATGTCTATTTCTCCTAATATTACCTGAAGCAGGAGTATGAACCAACTTCCTTTTGACACGCAGCTTTTTTCCTGACTGAAGATTCTGCAACAAAAGCAAAAACTATTACAACCACCAGGACAATCAGAGGTGTACAGTTACATTATAGACAGTGGGAAGCTATGTCACCGGGGTGCCCAAAAAACTGTCCCCGCATGTTGCCCAACTTCTGGAGGATAGAAGTGATGCAGTTTCTCTCTCCCTTTTTTGAGGACCACTTTCAACAGCATCCGCCGGAAACAAAAGACACTTTATGTCTTTGGAGAGCCTTTTACGCTGACAAAGAGATTAAAAGAGTAGTTAACAATACAGATTTTTTTTAATCTAACTTGAATAGTGTAGAAGGTAAATCATCTGAGTTTAATTAATAACTAAAAATAATGCAACTCTGCTCAGGTCACTGCATGGCTGGTAGGTAAACGCCTGTCAGAAGTCTTAAGGAGCCGGCCGGCTAACATGGGTTGCTAAAGCAAGTGAAGTTTAGCGTAACTCGGCTAACAAGCTAGTTAGCAGCCTTCTTACCTTCCTGGAAGACATGGAAACAAAAACATGCAAACTTCCAACTTAGTAATGTTTCCGCTATGGGTGTGTTTAAACAATAAGGTTGTTTAACCCGTTTCTAGCAAGTTCCCGATGTTTGTAGCCGGACAGGTGTGCAAAGAAAGCGAACTGACAGAACTACTGGTGGAGTTAGCTCAACAGCAGTAGATATGCTTCATTTTTTTAGCAGCGCGTCCCGGAGGCGGGCGGGCTGTCCATGTGAGGCAGTTGCACAACCACGTCCTAGTTAGTTACAAAATCCCCTTACTGTGCCAAGTTAAGGGCTTTCATTTATTCATATCTGGACACTGGAAAAATAACAAGTCTACATTTTGTCAGATGTTATATATCTCTACTCCACGTATGTACTTTAGTTTGGCTAAACTGCCACTCCATAAAACAGGAGGACGTAAACGCAACACTGTTATGACTATTGGCAGATTTTCTTCAGAAATGTATAATTAACTCTGTGGGAACCGTGCAAACATAGCATATTAAGTCCACGTTTTGCTCCATATGCTTATTGTTTTTCTTGCTTAAGTTTATGTTTTTACAAGTAGATTTCTAAAAATCTTGTGAGTTTGTTCAACCCCACTAAGTCCACACTTTTTAGAATTACATTTTGCTACAGTTCTAAAACAGCTTAAGAGACTGAACGTTCTGGGCATTCTCAGGAGTTTTTAAGCCTTGCCTTAATTTCTCAAATGGGTTTCAGTCTTGGCATTTTAAAAATACGACTATGCTTTCATATAAAACATTCAGTTTAAGCTATAACTTTGCCCAGTACTTGGCTCCACCTTTTCCAGGCTTTTCTTCCCTGTCCATATTGAAGAAAAGCCTTCCCACAGCATGATGCTGCCACCTCTATTTTACACTGCGGACGATGAATGTAGGATGATGTGAAGAAAACAGTTCAGTACTCCATCAAACAAATAAATTATTTCAGTTGTGAGTCACTGTTCATTTATAGTTACAGGACACGTCTTCTGTGGACTCAAAATGTAATTTTATTACAGCACATCCACTCGAATCGTAATATCTTTCAAACAGCAAGTTAAACATACAAAAGCTCACTTAACATATCTGGGTTTTTTTTTTATTAAATATGTAAAAAGCAGGTCAAGTTATTCACAAATGAAATGCAAACATGCAACACATTTTTGGGGGAATGCATAAGGAATGGGACATGGAAGAAAAAAAAACATTTACCATTCATTAACTATTGACAGTACATGTTTACATTCCTTTTTCATTTACATAATATTATATAACTAAAGCATTGTGGTGCGCTGTTCAGCTCAATATTTTGTAAATGCAATATTAAGAAAGGGTACACAATGTACTTACTGGAATATTATGAGGCAACCTGCTCAGTGAACCGACTCATCTCTCTAAGACCTGTGGTTTTAAAAAAAGAAAAGATCTAAAAATACAAACAGAGCGCTGAGATTGAGAACCTAAAAAAGGCTGCTTTATCATAAGACTAGTCAAGTCTAGCTGTTCTGCTCCAATAACACATTGTTCGACACACTGATTATCTGGAAACTTGTAATTGGGAGGACAGCTGTGAAATAGTCACAAGTTGGCATTTTACTACATTTTATTTGTAACTCCGTAACAGGATAGTCCTCCCTTCACGAGGCTGCAATGCAGATTTTTGCTCTATTTCTAAGGCTTAATAATAATAATAATAATAATAATAATAATAAATACGGTGAGGATCTATGGACAGATTGTCCAGAACAGAGTCAATGTCAGTGCAACACATGGGAGGAGGTTAAATAAGAGCTACTACGAGCCCTTCCAGGGCTTTGCTTATTGCATTCTTGTGGTTAATATTGATATGCAGAATGACACAGAAATAAAAAAAATAATAATAATAATAACAAAAGTGTAGAGTTTAACACTTGCAATGACAGGTTAAGGTTACCTGCCTAAAACTTCAGCATTTTATCACATCTACTGCAGGAGTCAAAACTACTTTCCACCCACACAGTCTGTGAAAACTTCTGTGATGGTCTGAGCTTGTCTGCTAGTGGAGGTCATGGGCACAAACCTGCCACAGCAGTTCACCAAAGAGTCACAAAAACACCAAACAGTGAGCAGAGATGCAAAAAAAAGAAAAGAAACCCCTGTGATGGTATTTTTTTAATCCAGAAGGTTGCTTCATGTGCTCATTCTTGGAGAGAACAAAAATAAAATAAAATAAAATAACAACAGTGAAAATTAAAAATCCTTTGACAGTTCTCACATAATAAAAAGAGGAGTTTTAACTTCGGTGAGGGATGATGGCAGTCAGTATTCATCTTGTTCTTCCTGCGGATCTTGTGATGTCGCCTCGTGGGCTTGCTGGTCTGCTTCCTGCCCGTCACCCTCAGCCAGATCCCCTCGGTCCTAAAAAAGAGACGCTGAAGCTGAGTATCGGTTCAAGGCAAGCTCATGTGATTACAAACGCACACAAAGACTTCTTATTTCATCCAAATGGACAATAACTTTCACCAGATTTCTTAACTATTAAGATGGACTTGAAACTACAAACTACAAGTTTTGCTTTAAGAACATTTTAAGACTATAGGTCCAGTTCAACCTAAATTTGAAGCTGTCCATAAAGTAGTTAAGTGTCCGGGTTTCGATTTTTGAATGAGTTTGCGTTTAGTCAGTAAGTCAAAAAATAAGATATTGTTGGTTAAAATGCTAAAATCAACATGTGATTGGTTAAATCAAAGATAAATAATGTTAATTATATATTTTAAAAAAAAATTAAAAACAGCCACATGTACTGCATGTTTTGTCCTTTACAAGTTGAAGATGAAAAACCAAAGTGTGGAAAATTAAAAAAAAAAAAAAAAAAAATTTCTTTCATTCATACTTTCCCAGCTCAGAAAAACTTTTCCCAGACTTTTCAAGGCTGTGTATGAACTCTGACACCACTTACTCACAACAAACAGCCCCTAGAGACATCAAAACAGGAGAAAGAAAATGTGCCCATGTAAGAGAAAAAGAAATTCTGGAACTTGAAGCCGACCTGTTCGTCCGAAGCATAAAGCACCTCCATTAGCCGATCGACAAACGGGCTGTTTTCTTCACCCTGTTCCTGGCACAGCATCTCCACTTCCCGCAGCTTGCTGAAGTAGTAGTCCCGCTCCTTTTCAACCCCTTCCAGTGCCAACTTTAATGTGTTCACCTGAAAACAAAAACAGAACTGTTGAAGGAAATGCTTTAATGAGGAAGCAAAAGCAAAAACAGAAGTGACAAGACAAACTGAAAGAGAAAGCTGTTTCCAAAACAACCAAATGTCCAAATCTTCATCTTGGAACACAGTAAAAAAAAAAAAAAAAAAAAAAAAACAAAAAAAAAACTAAAAAAATATTTATCTGCTCAAACCAACAAGAAAAAAACATCCTCACAAAGAGGCAAAGCTGTGAGGAAAAGCTTAGCCTAATCTCAGAGGAGATGATTAAATACCGGAAAAGTCAAAACTCTCCATTTTTGCATCCCAGAAAACTCTGTTTCATTATTCTTTAGAGCAGCTTCCTCTATGTGTGGAAATGATAAATGCTGCACAGCCTCCTTGTATGACGAACTGGGAAAGTGAACGTAAACAAACTAAAATTGGGAGTGTGAGCGAACGCCTACCTACCTGCTCAGTCAGATGTGTGACCTGCACTTCCAGTTCTTTCTCTCCTTTGACAGGAGTCGATACAGTTGCAGGTATCTTTTTGGCTGAAGAGGGTCTGGATGTTGGCGTTGAGGCCTTGGGAGTAGTAGAGCTCAACCTTGAAGCTCCTGTAGCACATTGACAGAAAATCAGAAAAAGGCCATTTCGATTTAAATCACTGAAGTTCAAACAGTTTCCATTCACTGTCAGACACAAACGTTTCAAAACTCAAAAGGTTCCAGTACAGACAGGGATGCTGAGCAGAGTGGATGGCGGAGTGGAGTCAAGTCGACTAAACTTTAACAATTATTAATTTCCTTTCATGTTGTCAGCTGAAGCTTACCTGCCGTGGGGGAGCTGGCTGCGTGGTGAGACTTCTTTGGCAGGTTGAAGATTTGCTCACCAGGATCGGGCGGTGGAATGGCATCCTGACCCTGCCTGGCTTCCACCGGGTCGTACTCTTTACCGTCATAGTTGGCATCAAAGAACTTCTTAAACCACTGGATGAAATCCAGGTTGTCCTGAAATCTGCCTTTGACAAGTTTCTCCACTGGAATAATCTGAGAAGTAGATATTGAAAGTGAAGCGCGTGTTAGAATGAGAGGGCGCGTGATCTGAATAAAGCCGCATTTGGGCGACCCACCTTGTCCACGTTCATCCTTTTGAAGGACGCCTGCAGGAGTTTGAAATTGTGAATGTATTCATGTTCCAATTTAGCTTGAAATTTGACCTTTTTAAGACTGATGCAGCCAGGGAAGAGCAGATCCATGAACTGGCAATAAGCAGCCCCTGGAGAAGGAAGAACAATGCACAATTTTGTAAATTCTAACATTACAGGTCAAATTATGGATATTTTTTCTTATGTCATCTACTTGGAAAAAAAATGAGGGGATCCCACACAATGTAGGCCAAATCTAATCTGAGCCTAATTAGGAAGCACATAAGAAGTAATCAACCAATTAGTCTCCACCTGAAGAAAAGGGTTAGAGTGTATGTGCATGTGTGTGTGTGTGCGTGTGTGTGTGTGTTTGTGAAGGAAGTGACTGATTGAAATTGGATTACTCGGCCACAGCGGGACAAGGCAGCGGGCTTCAGGTTTATTTTTAGACAACTCTCAGCAAGAAAGAGGTGAGCATGTTTCCACAGGTTGCTACAGAACTGCTATCTTAAACAGAAAAGGATTTAGAGCCATCCATGCATTACAAAGCAAAGATGCAATCTGCAAAACATGCTTCCCGTATCAAACGGCGCCTCGGCCGCTGCCTGTTCGTACCTGACGAGAGCTGCTCCACTTTTGTGTAGTTTAGGCAGAGAATATCGTTAACCCAGGCAATGATGTCATGCCTGCTCATAGTCTCCTGGGTTATTGAGGTAGAATATACGTTGACCGCCATCCCCCAGCTGAAACAGAAAGGAGAAAAACGTTAACAAATGCAGAGTGGCGAGTTTTAACTTCCCCCTGTTCAAAATCTTTTTAGAAAATAAAGACTTGATAAGCCTGTGATTATTAGCTTAAAATGGCATTAGGGGTAATATGTGAAGTTGTCACTTAGTCTGTGAGAGAGTTTTTAATCTTCTGATGCTTTGATGTGACAAGAAACTCCAGGCTAATTTTTAGGACCTCAGCAATGGGCCGGTTGCCAAAGCAACACTTTCAAACCCCCAAATATCCTTACTGATGCCTCTCCTGCACTGTCGAGCTTTTAATGAGACGTCAGAAAAATAATATGAGTTTTCTCCAAATTCATGGAGGTCAGAGTTGCGCAGCTCTACCCCTCCCCCACTTGTTGCTGTACATTACTTGTCAACCGGCTTTTTCTTCTCCATGCGTAAAGAGACCATTTTGGGTATGTGATAACAACTGAAAAGGTTAGTGTCAAAATAAAAACATTTAATAACATGTTTAAAAAAAAGACTACTACTCAATAACTTTACTAATTAAATAAAAGCAGTTAGGTCATTCTGTGTGAACATATAGTTGTGGTAGCTTAACTCCAGGTGCATCATGGACTGAGAATCTAATTTTAGCTCATGTTGACTCATTAAGCATCACATCACTGTAAAAATCCTAATTTCAATAATCTTTCATTTATCATTGTAGATACCATTACAATAAATCCAGCCAGGTTACACTGCATATTCCTGAAATTTCTGAAGCTATTAACTGAAAATGCACAGAAAAGGTCCTCTTCTGGGAGTCAAAGTAAACAGAAGTTCTAGAAATCAATAACAGATTTTCTTGCCAGTAGCAGACACATCCATTGTTTGTTTTATTTTGTTGTCGTTTTTACATGAGATTAAACTGTAATATTCCAAATCTGGTTGCCAAATCTACTAATTGGGGCCACTTGTAACTACAGATTAAAAAGGTTACAACGAACCATCAACATATCTGCAAACTAAAACTTTGATCCTTAATCTACAGATGAGGCAGTTAAACAAACTGCCCGAATGATGCCCAATCAGTGTTCAGAAATTCAGCAGGTAGCTCAACAACTAAGGAATGTTCTGTGATCAGCTGAACTACGGATGAGTGACAAAAGCGCAAAGTGGCTCCAGTGGTTCTACGGGTCCAAACGGAATCATAAAAATCTATTCTACTGCTGTAATGATATTGCTCAGTCTGTCTCAAAGACTAATTTATAACATAAATCTTACAAAAGTGTTGAATTAGAAAGGCAATTTGTTCATTCTGATGGAAAAACAACTTTGCAAGCGGTTCATCAAGTTCATATATAAATATGAGCAACCACTTACACTGGGAATTTTTCCTATCAGCTTGTGTGTGCGTGTGTTAAAAAAAAAGGGAATGGCGATATCACAACAATATACAATCAATAAATTAGAACATTATTGAAAATTTCCATTATTTCAATAAGATGGTTCACTACGAGAAAAAAAATATTTCACCACAGACTGATGTTTTCAAGCCTTTATTTCTGGTAATTATGTTGATTTTCCACTTATAGGTATTAAAAATGATATTTAAGATTATAATATTACATCAAGCTAATAAAAACAAAGATTTGGGGCTTGATGTATTCTCAATATCTTATTCTATGGCAAACTTTTACATTTTGAGGTGTGGAAAAAATGGTAAGCTACAATCTGTCTTAAAATAGGGTATAAGATGTGCTGTAATTGTGTGTGTGTGTTTTTTTTTTTTTTTTTGTTTAATCTGGGTGTTATGAATGAATACACTACCAAGACCTGCCAGATTGTCAGTGATGTTGAGGGATTCAGCTCTCTAATTTTGGCCTGTACATGTGAAATCATTGTTTTAATTTACAATAAACATTTTAATACAGTTATTTATAAATTATTATTTATACAGTTATTTATTTACAGTTGAGTTTTTAATTGACCCAAAAGTAGAAAAATAATTATTTGGTTTTGAGACAAAACTTGGAACATTCAGATCAAAAGTATGCAAATATTAGGGATAAGAAATTAGCCACACATTAAAAAAAAAAATAAAAAATCTCTGGTTCATACCTATCCTAATTGCACAAAGCCTGTTTTGTAAATTCATTGTACTCCCACTTTTAGTCCCCTGACAACAAGATTTTGTGTTTCACAAGATCAGTCATCTCTATTTTCCAAATGAGGTTTGATCTTTTTTTTTTTTTTTTCCCAAAATCCCTGTGCACGGAACCATTTCATGGATCGAGAAGACAGAACCATTAACACAATCCTCTGATCGTGGAGCAGAGCGTAATAACATATTAACACAGTTAATAATCATTCTCCACACGCAGAGAACAAGATACACGGCATAATATTAAGCTGTGGAGGAGGAGAGGGGTCCTCTCAGTGATTCTCTGAGGCCGAAGGCAGGAAGGAAACTGGGCCAGCCCATCTCATGTCAACAAAGCGGATGTATGCGTTGCTGCTAGCATGCTTTGTTAGCCTTGCGGGGCTAACCAGAACTGGACTGATGCCTGAATCTTAACGCGGCGGCAGTCATCTCTTTTATAGCGACTGCATACGTTAATTAGAAACACCAAATGCCCTTTTATCACAGCAGCAGAGACCGATAGTCCGCAGCAGACTGTCATGTCACGATGGGAATGTTCTAGCAGCAGCTTCTCGCAGGGTAGCCGCTTGATTCAAAAGACGCTCCGTGTCAAGCCTCCCCGTGAAAAATGAATAAAAATGTTCTTGTCCCAATGCACACTGAGCCACTGAACCATCCGTTGCTACCTGCAACGATTTGGGCATATGTAACGTGGCAGGAATCTGTGGTTTTAGGGTGATTTTAGAGTGATTTTGCGCCACAGTCCCATTCTGAGCGAACAGGATTTGACAATCGGAGGAGGAAAAACATAACGGACCGCTGCAAAGCAAGAAGGGACGCCGAGGAGGAGGCCAGAACAGAACTTGCGTTTCAGGTTTTGCAACAGTGCGTGTCTTTTTATGACCTTTTTCCACCCCCATCGTAACATGACATAAAAGCGGCATTACGCTGGTTTACCTGTAGGCGCGCTCTCCCCGCACAGTATTTTTCCTGTAAGGAATGATGTTGGTTCCGTTGTCCTGGACGATGTCGTTGTTATTCTCTCCATTTGGGGAAAGGGCTTGGGTGGGACCGGGCATTTGGGTTTCTAAAATGTTGAACAGATACTCTGTTCTTGCTCTCTGGTCGGGTGGAGGGGAGAAAAGAGACACCAGGAACGATGCAAAAAGCTATGAAAGCGGCGCACCTCCAAAGCTCCCTGCTTCTGTCTGCTTATTCCTCACAAATCTCTGCCCTGATGATGACGGCGTCGCAACCTGCACCACGTGACCAATGGGGCTGGTTGCTATGTCAGTGCACCACTCTGTGTTGATAACTAGCTATGAAGAAGTTTTCAAAGCTGATTTGTTTATGTTGATGACTTGCCAAACAAGGGGCATCTAAAACATTGGAATATTGTCAAAAAATTATCATCAGGAAATGCTTCGAATAATAATTACCCAGCTTATATCAGGTTGTTGTGGTATCCTACAAAGAAATCAGCAAAGAAATCAGCAAAGTAGGACATTAGCGCAATAAGCACATTAACTGAAAAAAAAAATTACAACTGAATTTAGTGGTTGTTTATTAAATATTTTGTAATAAAACAACCTCTTATTGTTTTCTAGTAGCAACTGATACAATACTTGACTTAAAAACAACCTTTCAGATCAGGTTAGGCATTTCAGTGAAACTGTGATATATTTAATAAGGGTTAGACCAGTAATCTATACTGATCTATCGTCGTGACAAACAGCATGTTGACAAAAGCCAGCAAAATATTGCCTTAAAAGAAAAAAATTACATGAGAATGAATTAAGTGTTTTAGGTTCCATAGTAGTCATGGCTTATTGTTTGTAGTGATATTGGATATTTGCATTTATTCAGACTAAGTTACATAATTGTTACAGTGTCACTAATAATGTACAATTGTGTAATTATGCAATTGAAATTCTACAAGTGTACATTTGAGAAACTTTATGGATATGGGCATTTTTTTGTTTCTACATTCTGACTCCTGCACAATGCATGTTTGTTTGTATTTCTCAATTTGAAGAGTGGCTAATGGAAATGTGCTTCTGTGTCATGTTATATTTATATCTCATGGAAAAAAGGAAGTCAAGGATTACCAATTAATTGTTCCTCAACTCTCTGATTAGCCTAAACAGTCTATATTACGATAAATGATTTCAGTTGCATTTATGTTATAGATATTATTGTCAGTGCCACCAAAAGTGTCACGAATGATTTTATTAATCAAATCTTTTAATATTTTATATTTATAACAACTCTACTGGTGTTGTCAATAGTCTGTAGTTGAAACAACATCCAACTACTGTAAATGAGAAACATAAAACTGTCATGCATGAAAGTAGTAAATATTCTGAAAAAGTAACCAACTATAGAAACAATTTCACTTTAGATTTATAAGTCAATTCAACAAAAAGTATCTAGCTGCAACACAGATTCACATTTTGCACCACCGTTTGTTTGGGTTGCCATATCTGGTGTAATCACACTGTGTTTGTGTTGTTATTTCCATGTAACAGCTGAGAGGGACAAATGATGTCTTTCAGAAAAACTAATTGTGAAACTTGTGAAAATGATAAGAAGCTAACCATAGAGTCTCAACACAACTTACTGTCATACTACAGAGAAAATGAAAACTGTCTATTAGACTAGTAAGGCTATAGTAGCCAAACATATGAGGCACAAACAGTACATATGGATCTTGACAATTTCATTGATTTCCTCAGACAAATAATGAAGATCTATGTGACCACTGCAGCTCCAAGCTACAAGACCTTTGTTGTTTTTTGTTGTTGTTGTTTTTTGTGCAGGACACAAGCATTTCAAGCTGCTAATAACATCTCCAACAAAACCCATGAAGTACAGAATTTTCGCTTATCTGTTTTTACTGCCTTAGTTTTTTTTTTTTTTTTGCTTTTGTTTTTCCTTTTGCCATTTCTTCAAGAAAAGCCTCCATAAGATCTTGAGATCAATACAACAATCTATCAAACACCACCCTCAGTTTAAAGGTCAACTGATACAAAAACCTAAAGCTCTTTACCCATCTTTTTTTCCTGCCTTCATTTGACAGATCCACATGCTAGCTTCATTATCAGACATGTAACCATTTAAAAATATTTAAATAAATTCAAACGCTAAAAGAGTAAACTTGCTGTGTTTTTTGTTTCGCTTGTCATATTAGATTTAACACACCATTAAATATGTGTAATTGCTGTTCACTTGTTTAAATTGCAAACCCAGACCTGAATATGATTGTTCTTCAATATCGCAAAAGCTCTTGGCAAGCATATAGTCTGTGCATATAGTTAAAACTCCAGCACCCCCATCAGGTTATGGTTAGTAAGCCAATGGTTCTTCAACATAGCAGCTGACAAATATAACCCTGGAAAAGATGACCAAGACTTTGGTTTCCCAATTCAGCTAATTCATCTTAAAAAAGATGAATTAGCTAAATTTTTTGTACCTTTTTTTAAATTCAGCACTCTGTGTTTAACTATTCTGAGCGAAAGTATTTTTCTTTACTTTGAATAAATCTGGAAAGTATTTTTCACTTAATATATTATGAAGCAGTAATTGTACATCTGTCTCTTTGTAGGTGTACATTCCAGATTCGGTTTAGACTTAGATAAACATGTTGTCAGTAACTGTACTGTTTGGTTTTGTTACTATTTTACTGAAGTGAATTATCCAGCTTTAGCCAGTGGATCACATGCCAAATGTGTATTACGCTATTAATTCATCATCATTTAAATCTGCAATTTCACTCTATGAAGTGACTAATATAAGTATTTATTTTTTCTTTTTGCAGAATAATTTAAACTCAGTTCGACTGGATGGAGAATGACTGATTTGCTACAGACTCTAAATAAGACTTTAGACTCTAAATAAGTTTTAGGTTGGACTTTGACTAGGCCAACCAAAACATCAACATGCTTTGACCTTAACATTTCCTTTGTAGCTCTGGTTGTATCGTTTATGGTTGTTATCCTGCTCAAAGGTGAACCTTCGCTGCAATCTCAAATCCAGGATTACTCTGCATTTAGCTCCACTCATCTTCCAGTCCACTCTGTTCAAGGTGTGTTCAGGGTAATGTAGTGTCAGCTCTTTGACTCACAATACATTTTGGATGTAGCCTAAAAAGTTCAATTTTGGTCTCATCTGACCAGACCATCTTCTTCCTCAAAGTCTATATTTGTGGCAACTTTTGCTCGTCCTGTTGACAGATTCTCACAGCTGATCTGTGGATCTCTGCAGCTTCTCCAGAGATACCACAAGCTGCTTCTAATGGAATAATCGTCTCCTTATCAGGCCTGCCAGTTTTAGACTGCTGGTAGGGTCCTGGCCGGTTGGCAGTAGAGTCATGATGAATTGAACAGAGCTCCTTGAGATGCTCAACCCTTGAAATATTGCTTTACAACCAAACCCTGCTTTAAATCTCTCTACATCTTGATTTCTGGCTTCTCTGGTGTGTTATTTAATTTTCATTGTGATGTTTGTCTTCTAATGTGAAGTAACTACAATAACATATAAAGCCTTTGCAGAGCAGCTCTATATCCTGTTTAAATTACACACAGTTGGACTCATTTTAATTAATAGGTCATTTCTGGAACCAATTTGCAACACTGGCTTTCTTTCAGATGTGTCAGATTAAAGAGGGCCGAAAACTACAGTCTAAAAAACTACTTTTCATTCCATTTCATTTGTTATGTTCTACTTTGTGCAGGTCCATCACATGAAATCTCAATGAAAGTTGCTGCAGTTTGTGGCTGAAACTTAACCAAGTGTGAAAAGCTTCAAAGGACATAAATACTTCTGCAAGCAACGCAATATAGTTCTCCAGAAGCTCAGATAGCAAACAATGCTAAGAGCCTGGCTAATGCTTTTCTGTTTATGTTGCAAGCTGTCAATTTAGATTTAGATCGTAACAGATTGGTGGTTCTCAGTTCAAGGCTGATGCTTTACAGTAACCATTAGGGTTGTATGTTATGCTGATGCAATCAATCATCACTGAGATCTGTATTGCATGAGCTAACTTCAGTCTGAGCTTTATCTTACACAGTAAAATCATAGGCAAATATGCCTCCTACTCGGAGTGGATTTGAGTGTAAGGCACTCTTCAAGCAACAGAGTAGGAGGGGGGTGCAGATGTGTTGGCTAGTGAGTTAACACTGGAGACACATCTGGGGAATTAAAAAAAAAATCAATGTAAAGCTAAGGAGGATTCCAAAACTTCTCAAACCCGTTAAATCTCCCCATTTCTGCTAATAACATACATTCCGCTATTGTTATTTATCCAGGGAAAAGCAGGATAACCCTGCTAATTTGCAGATTTTAAAGCAAACGTGTCACCGAACAGCTAAAGTCAGTCTGTTGAAAGAAGCTAACTCAATTTACTGAAACAAAATAGCGATGTATGGAAAAGCCAAAACAATTCAAGTGGAAGAGCGATGGTTTACACTTACGCCACAGATAATTTCAAGAGAAAGCGGGACATTTTGTCCAACTAACAACCAAGTATGCTAATGTTGCCTTCACTGTCAAACCAGTGACAGTCGACATATGCTCTGACCCTCTCTAACATCACCACAAGCATCAGCTACTACCGCGTATAACCACGTTGCGGATACAAAAAATCCGTCTCACTTTGCGAATCAAAACGAACCACAGATTTGAAAAAATTCAACATAGCAAATCTTACTCACCTCTTAACTCCGATCCACAGATTACAATGTGTTAAAAAAGAAAGCAGTTTTCCGGCTGAGCAGCCCCACCCTCAAACGCTCGTAAAACGAAGAACGTAGAACTGGAAACTGATTGGATAGTGCTTCATCGGCGTCGCAGCTGATTGGTTCGTAGGTAACATCTGTTGTTAAAACGGCCAATGGCGTCCTCATGCGTTGGTCATTCACAACGTACGGCATGTCCGTCTTCTCGCTTTCTCACATATTGAAAAATATTTTTATATAAATATTTTCTAAAAAGAAAACAGTTTACAAAAAACACTTTAAAATAAATACTTTTTAATTTATAAAGCAAAGCAAAGGTCTAACCTAATTAAAGAAAGCGTTAAACAACGACCGATAAATAATGTTCTAAGTTATGACTTAAATATTATGAAGAATTTTAATTAGATTTTTTTTCAAATGCGTGATATTTAAAAATGTTAAAATTAGCAAAGTTTGATTATTTGTTCAAAGCCAAATATGAACACAGCACCTTCATATAAAACTACTAAAAGACAATCTGCGAGGACACATCACAAACAAAATAAATAAAATTAGAAGTATATCTAGCTAATAGAAAGTTATATCTAAATTATATTATTATTATTATTATTATTATTATTATTACATCACATAATAGCAATAGATTTTATATTATTCAGAGAAGAAATATGAAGCGTTCAGTAAAGTTATCTAAAAAATTATTAATATCCATTTGAGGAAAAGTGGCCGGATCATGAAGGTAATTTAATCAAAGAAATATGCACAAAACATATATTTTTAAAAGTATATCTGCGAGTTTAGACCTTACCATGACCAGTGAAAAACACTGAAATAGGTCCCAACCAGGTTTGGTGTTTTTATTTATTTATCATTTTTATTATTACATTTTTTTTAATTAACTTTTGATGATTGAAATTGAAATCTTGGTCATGAAAAATAAACTTTATAAAAAAAGTGCAACTGCTTTTCTACAGTGCAGGGCCCAGTGTAGTGCATTATAACTCTATTTTAAGGAAATCATTGCAAGGCATAAAAGTTATACTTTGAGTTAAAAAGAGAGAGAAAAATACTGTAAAAGAATCGGCCATTGAAACAACTGCACTTTTCCTATGTCAGCATTGGATGGCAGTATTGCACTTGAACGTGGAAAGGAACTGTTATGCCTGATTTACAACTGGCAAAGTGGAGACTACGTGGAAAGGTTAAACAATGATCACACAATGAGAAAGATAATGAAGTAATAGGGATAAGTATTTGTTGAGGGCAAAAAAAAAAAAAAGAATATAAACTAACTGTATTCACTTCTGTAAAAGCTGCAAATGGGAAATATGATAAGGCCAAAAATGTTAATTGTACATTTTATTACTGCCCAAGTCATGAAGATAACAACTCGGTATATTCACAGAGCTATGAGATTCTGTTTCAGATGACTGCATTTATGTTTCCTCACATGGTGAGTCTTGGTGATGAATTATAGACAATAGGCTGAGGGTAGCCAACGGTGCATTTATGACAGATAATAAATGTGCAGAGTCAAACCGAGCCAATTGAAGTGTGCCATTCTGAAATGGAAAAGAAGAAAGGAGAGTTCATAGGCAAAAATTTTGATATTGTGTCAACACTTTATTATGCATCACCACCATGCAAAAATCACTGCTATGAACTTGCTTGAAAGTTAAAAGAAAAAAGAAAAAAAATCAAGCTAGCTATATTTCACACATTTATGGTTTTAAATGGGCTTGCCATTTTTCCTAAGGTGGCAGGGCAAAGTTTTTTTTACATGCACACTCACAAAGACTGTGTTGGTGTGCAAGCCACGTGGAGGTTTGTGGGAGTAATGACATTGACTCAGAGAGAGGGAGTAATCTATGATTAGTACTTGGTTAAATTTGTTGACCTAATAGTGCTGCATTAATTGGTCTGCCTCTTGTAGTATCTCCGTCTACAGTGCAATTCTCTGTGAAAACACTAACTTTTCTAAGTTTTTTTTTACAAACTGGTTCATTGATTTGTGCTGGTACAACTGACACCTTTAAGTGTTTGTTTTGACAAGGTACTATGTCAGCTTGAGAGCTGTGCATGTGCAGCTCTCAGTCAGCTGACTGAGCTTTCCAAAGCTTCCGAAACCCAACTAATACCAACCATAAGACCTTAAATCTCTAGCAAGTTGAAGGGGAGAAAATGTGGATGAAGGACAGCAGACGATTTGGTAAACAAATGGCTTGGGATTTTTCAGATCCCATGCTGGGAACTGTTATCCCTTTGAAGTTAACCTGAAAATCAATCAACACATGAACAATGTAAAAAATATTAGGTCTCCAGGACTCTAACCTGGCTGAAAATAGATTCCATTTTTTTACAGAGTTCAAATTATTTCGAACAGTATAGTAAAATAAAGACTCTATAGAGCGGCAGGCGTAAAGCAAGAATGACTACACTACTAAAAGGAATGTGCAGTCCTGGACACATGTCTTGCGTTATTAGACAGCTTTCTGTCTTGATCAAATACACAAAGTTAATTTGTGTTATCTTGGAAGCTTCCTGTGAGATAATCATCTGTGTTTGTTACCAAACTGCAAACACAATAAAATTTCAACCACATCTGAACTATGTTCAACCTTCCAACAGTAGCTGGTTTTTAAGCTTTCACTCATTTAAATTCTGGTTTGTACGTCACTAAAAATAATTTGAGTTTATAGTGAATAAAGTACAATTCAATTTCCTTGGCTGCAAAAGAAAACTTAACATAAATATTTGATTCGGTAACACTTTATTTGAAGGGGGTTGAATAATACTGACATGACACTTTCATTAACATGACATAACACCTGTCATGAACATGAATAAGCCTTCATGAATATTTATGACTGTTGTCATAAAGCGTCATTTGGTAAATTATGACACTTTTATTACAAAGCTGACATTATTCAAAATGTATTTGTTATGACAACTTGACATTAACCAGGAAATCATTACTGTTTAAACTTTACCTTTAATAACATAAAGTTACCTAATTTTTAAAGTGCAATCAGTAATACTTTTATAACAAATTTATATCAGTAATGATTTCCTGGTTAATGTCAAGTTGTCATAACAAAGACATTTTGAATAATGTCAACTTTGTATTAAAAGTGTCATAATTTACTAAATGATGCTTTATGACAACAGTCATAAATATTCATGAAGGCTTATTCATGTTCATGACAGGTGTTATGTCATGTTTATGACAGTCTTATGTCAGTCTTATTCAACCCCCTTCAAATAAAGTGTTACCTTTGATTCTAACCAGTTTGAAGATATTTAAGGGCACCCAAAGAATTCTCTTGTAATTTCCATTTCTACCATTTGAACAAGTGTTTGCCATTCGCTAAAAAAACTTTAACTGTGACCTTGTGCTTTGGTAATTCCGCACTGCTTAATCTGGGTCTGGATTGACAACAGATAATGAATATGAGGTAAAGCACATCATGCCCCATATGTTGCTGTGGGATCTATTATGTTGTAAGTATCCAAGTCCCTGGAGTACAATCCTAAACTCTTTGAAATACCAGGACAGTTCGAATAAAACTTTGCTAGCTTTTGCTAAATGGGTCACCATTGGGTCTTCCGGTAGTGAGACGATCCAAAACACAAGGCTAAGTCCACACAGAAATGGTTCACCAGAACCAAACTCAACCTTGTTCAAACGTCCATCTCCTTACAAGACCTCATTCTTTCAGAGAAACAGTTGGTAAGAAAAACAGAGGAGTGAAAGATAAGGCCACAGATGCTCGATAAATGAGACATTGTGCAAAGAGGAATGGTAATAGATGCATTAGAGGCCAAAATTATGTAACAAGTGATTTTGTTCAAAACTATTACTTCCTAACTTGGAATTTCTTTTCCATAGAATAAATATATCCAAATTAACAATCTGTTGTTGTTTTATTTTCAATTGTTTTAATGTGAGAATATATATATATATTTTAAATAAAATCCAGATTTATTAGAATACATGTTAACATCTTCACCAGCGATTAAATGTAAATGGGACTGTATTTGCAGAACCACACCGGGGTTTCTTTGAGGTTAAGCTCAACCAGCATCAATGTAGTTATGCTTTGGCATATAGGCTAGATGCTGCATTGTCAAGTACTGTAGAAGAACTGCAATGGGAGGTCAAGCAAGACAGCTAAGGCAGTGTGCATCATTGTTACTGATTCAGCATCTAAAACATTTACATAATCCACCTGTTTAAAAAAAAAAAAAACTAAACACACAAAAAGAACAGAAATAAATTTACAAGTAGCAACAGTAAGAAATGTATGAAATAGTGCTAAATTTGTTCACATGTCTCGACCAGAATAATAGATAAAAAATATTTCAGATGTTAGCAGTTTATACCATTATGCACTCTTGTGTTATGACTTAAAAATCAGGTGAGAAATTTACATGTAGGCTTGGCTCTTTGTGTCCAAAAACATGAGATTTTGAAAGAAAGAGGTTCACCACCTTGTACTTACAGTGTACGGTTTCTAAACAACTAAAGAAGAAAACTAAACAAAAGTTTGGAAATAACCGTGTTTTTATGGCACCTGTGGTGTAATAGAAAGCTCAGCAGTTAATCTCTTCACACCAGCTCACAGTATTACCTTAAATATGTGCTTGGATAAAAAATATATCTTTACATAAATGTAGCATTTCTATGGTTGGATTTAGCGCAGATTTAATTCTTCATGTCTTCAATGCTGCATGTCTTCAGCCCAGTGTTGCTTCTTCCAGTGTCTTCTACTATTGTTGCTTACCTGTAGAGAAATGAAAACATGTCGCAAAAGCATGTTGATGGTGTTTAAGATAACTTAGATGCATCTAAATAGAAAGTATTCCTAATCTCTTGGAGGAAATGGTTGCTATGCAACAAAAGTAGTGGAAAAATCAGAATTTATTTATTTTTTTTCTCCCACTTCTGTCTTCTGTGGTCCTCAGACGGAAACAAAATTTAAGCTTAGTATATAAAAACATGGCCACTTTCAAATGTACCACTCACTGCAGTGGAAACGGTCCTTTTTTGGGTAGAAAGATTAAACATTCTTTTAAGTTCCAGACCTCTGACAACATAAAGTTTAGCACTTCAATCTGATGAAGTCTTTCCACACAACTTACCAGTCATCTGGGCTTCCCCAATCACTGCTCCATTGTCACCTGGACAACCGAAAAACAAAGAGCCGGTTAAAACAAACGTAGCAATCCAAAGCCAAAATTATCTAAAGCCTGAACTTACCAAGCACGTTTTGTCCGTCTCTTGTCTGTGCTTTACCAGCTCCTCCAACTTGAGCTCCTCCTCTAGTTGCTGGTCAAGACTGTTTTCAAAACTTTCTTCTTCTGCAGCTCTAGCAGGTCTGATACAAGAGCAACAAAAAATAAGTCTCACCTTGAGCAACTTCAACAATGAACAATGAACTCATGCATGGACACTTGATATAAAGATTCTTCAGCCGGTATAGCTACTGTATCTGATAAATACCTTGGTTTATAAGTGAAGTAAAAATCTGAGGAAGTTGGAGCCATTAGGTCACACTGTCCAAAGTCGGAATCCAAGAGGCTCTCTGTCTCACTACCACCTTCTGTGGAACGAAGCAGATTTTAAAAAGCTGCTGTTTGGAAATCAATCATTTCTATCCCATTTACTTCTACCTGAATTAAGCTCCTTCACAAGCGATGACATAGTGTTGGTTATGGAGTCGGCAGCAATGAGAAGGTCGTTCCTCAAATTTCTCCTTGGACCTTTAAAAAAAATTCCAAAATTGTTTTAAAAGTGACAGCACAGAGCATTCAAGGGACAAAATGAAGGCTGTGCCGTGTTACCCTGAGCGAAGGCCTCCTGAACATCCCCTCCCACGCCCATGAGTGAGTCCTGAGGTGTGTGAGTCGGAGTGGTGCCAGCAGAGTCCGAGTGGATTGGCGTGGGGATCGGCCGGCTGATGGTGTGGCTGGGAGAAGAGCGTGGAGAGCCGGGACCCTGAGTCTGCAGAGCATACAGGGTGTTTCAAAGCTGTGGCACGGAGCTTAAAGAAAACTGGTTTAATCGCAACATAGTCACAGGAAGACCTTTAATAATAATAATAATAAAAAAAAAAGCAACACAAAGTATTGTTCAACAATTCTCCTTGTGGTTTTATTCATTTAAGGTTTTTGAAAAGCAAGAACCAAAGCAAATATCACACATGCAAGATATGTGAAGCAGTAAAGATGCATTTACTATTAGGTCAGACCAAAAATATTTACATCTGATTATTTATTTATTTATTTATTTTTGCTAGGATTAGCACAAAACCATAATTGTGAAGTGGAAGGAGAATTATGAAGATTTTTTTTTTCTTTTGCAAAAAGCCTGAAAAGCGAGACATTCATATGAGATCACTCCATTTTTCTCTGATATGCTCATATAAATGTCAGTGCAAACAAGGTGCCTTCAAAGTTACCTAATCATTAAATAGAATCCACCTTTACATTATCCCATCTCAAGCAGCTGTACCCTGAAGGCCACGGAAGTTTGTTAGAAAATAGTATTGAACGAGCTGCATCATCAGTACCAAGGAACCAGCAGACAGGTGAGAAATAACGTTTAGGAGAAATGAATAGCAGGGTTAGGTTATAAAACAATATGTCAAGCTCCCAGCATCTCAGAAAATGTGTTAATCCATTATTTGAAGGTGCTTACTCTGGAGGAGCTGCAGAGAAACCCCAGCTCAGATGGGAAAATATAATAGGTCATTTGTCAAGCCATTCACAAATGTAGAAAAAAACAAAACAAAACAAAAAAAAGCTTAAAAAGTAGTTTGTAAAGTATTCCACAATGCATATAGGGGGTCACAGCAAACCTATGGAAGAAAGTGCCCTGGTCATGAGTACAAAGTTGAACACTTTAGCTTACATGCATTAAGCAAAGTGGTGAAAAACTAACACCCTGAACACCATCATCCCATGTGTGTAGCTGCGGGAACACAGTAGAACCATTTACATATTAAAGGTATTCCTGTGTTAGAATGGCTCAATCAGAGATCCGACTCAAATGCGTTTGAGAGTTTGTGGCAAGAGTCAACGTTCATGTTCACAGATGCTCTTCAAAGTACGGGCTCTCTGGGGATTTACTTTATAGGTTTTTTTTTTTTTTCCCCTTCTGCTTTACAAATTGGTCTATCACATAGCATCAACTTAAATACACTGAAGTTAGCAACATAAAAAGATAAAAACCTTTTATGCCTAGACTCAGATAAATTACGGAACTACTTTGCTTGAAGCAAAACTAAACCAATCAAAACATCAGGGCAGAAATGTATCCATCACGTACAGGCATCCAGGCAATACTTTTTCCACTTACACTTGCTTGTTTTCGTTCTTCTTCTGGCTAAAAAAAAAAAAAAAAAAAAAAGAAGAAAAAAAAAAAATTCAAAGATTATAAA